ACTTTCTTTGTTTTTGCCTCAAGACGTTTCTCTTCCCATCCAAGAACCTTCTTCAGATCTTCTCATGTTCTCTTCATCCAAAAAAACATCTTCAGTTCTCTTCATGAACTGAAAAAAAAAACACACACATATTGGATGGGAAGTGAAACATCTGCAAGAAAAATCAAAGAAAGTCCAGTTGCTTTTTGAAAAAGCACCTTTGGGGCTTGATGAGATACACCATAATTGTCCATGTTGCTGCATTCTGGATTTCACTCTAGAGTTTCCAAGTGCTTCTCAAGGACAACTTCATGTAGCTCATTGCTTCGTTAGTTGTGCTTCTGTCTAAAGGGTTCTGAACATACAGAGGTTCTGTCAACATTCATTCAATCCAAGGGCCTTATTATTAAAAGAATCTGGTCCATCATGGCACACAAGCAGAGCTGAATATCAAATTAAGAGTCTGGAAGGGCACACACGTCATCTTTGGTGCTGTTTTTTGGAATACTGAAGCTGAGTAATGCATGTGCAGAATTCATGAAATGTTCCTCTCATCCATTGGCCCATCTTCCATGGGTCATCCTCACTCCATCCTTGCATTTTCATTTTAACCCCATCTAGGCTGGGATAGAGACATGTGCTTGCCACATTTGGATCTTGGCCACTGTTTCAGCAGATGTAAGGAGCAATGCGTCACGGAAGGGTTGTGGTGAAGGCAGCAATGATCTCAGTAGAGTAGAAGGGATTTCGTGCAATGCTTAACAAACAACACTGTGCTAGGCCTATTTATTTCTGATCAGAATTCAGGTGTTGGTTTCTTAGTGGATTGAGAGAAGAGTACTTTACATATTCCTTTCTTGCACACCTGCTCATTCTTTAGGATCTGCTCCAGAGATTCTTTTCGTCTTAAGAAACACAAAATATTGGCAAGAAGCTATGTCGTGTTTCCTGAAAGGATAACGGTGGCCTCTTCTTTTTTTAAATTTTCAAGAGAGCCACAAAATCTTCGGTTGGGTTTGGCTTCTGCTGTTCTCTCTCTTATGCCCTTCCTTTTTCACTTTGCAACGTTTGAAAGCTTGCAAACTGCCCCTTTGTTCCCAAATGTGTCTTTCTGAGTGTCAGAAAATGGAGTTAGAATAATTTCACAACCAGATAAAATGAACTGACAAAGAGCCAGATGGACTCAGAGAAACTAAAATAACATCAAGGTCTAACATTTTAGGGGGAGAGAAGGCAGCATGCACCCAGAATCTCTTTGGTTTCCGATGCCACCATCTCTGCACCATCTACCCAGAGGGCTATTTAAGGCTTATCAAATCATATATCTGCCAGGCACTTCCACCCACTGGTACTCAGATGAATGCACCAAAAACTACCAATGGTTTATTTTAGCTTTTGCATCTCTTATTAGCAATGGTGAGTATCGCAGGAAAGAAAAATACCAAACAGTTCAAAACAATTATTATCCACAACAGAACAGAATAACAATGTTGGATGGGACCTTGGGAAGTCCTAGTCCAACCCCCTGCAGGAGACCCTATACCATTTCAGACAAATGACCATCTTTCTCTTCTTAAAAGCCTCCACTGTTGGAGCATCTACAACTTCTGGAGGCCAGATGTTCCACTGGTTAATTGTTCTCACTGTCAGGAAATCTCTCCTTAGTTTCAGGTTGCTTGTCTCCTTGATTAGTTTCCATCTGATATTTCTTGTCCTGCCTTCTGGTGCTTTGGAGAATAGGTTGACCCCCTCTTCTTTGTGGCAGCCCCTCAAATATTGGAACATTTCTATCATGTCGCCTGTAGTCCTTTTTTCCATTAAATTGAAGGATTGTGAGTTCTAGTCCTGCTTTAACCATGAAAGCTGCCTTTGGTGATTCCTGAATCATCAGGAGACAGTGAGTTCTAGTCTCGCTTTAGCCACGAAAGCCAGCTGGGTGATTTGAGGTCAGTGACCAGGTGACAGTGAGTTCTAGTCCCATCTTAACCACAACAGTCAGTTGGGCCAATTTTGTCGCTCTCTCAGCCCAACTCACCTTGCAGAATCGCCATTATGGAGAAAATAAGAGGAAGAATGTGTGTAGGATATGTTCTCTGCCTTGAGTTATTTGTAAAAATAATAAAGGCAGGACAAAAAGGAATAAAAAAAATGTCCAGTTTCATTTTGTGAGCTACATTAAGAACTTTGTGGTAGATGGTTGATGATTCCTGTTGCTTTAATAACCCAGAAAGATATTTCTTAGCATGTGGTAATGGGTGTGTGTAGATATGTGCCCATGTAGGGTGGGAGAGTAGATGAACATGAGTTGTTGCTGAATTATACGATAATTCATCTCACAAAATGAATAATTATCCCTGCATCCTTTATCAGGTTTTTCCAGTTTTTAATGAAACATAATCAACATGTTAGGACAAGAACATATCATCGTTTCTAAAGTTCAACTTTGAACAATTTTTGCAACTTCATAGTAAGGGAAAAAAGACTGAAAAAAGATTATTTAACTTAGTGTGACTTTTTATAAAATGGGGCCAATTATTTAAAATTAGGTTGAAGGAAATCTCATGAGCCATCTGTCTAAATTGTAGCAGCTGATGCATTTTCATTTGACTTTTTAAAAGAATTTTGTAAAATTCTCACCTAATTAGCCTCCCTACACTTCGACACAGTAGATTAATTTGGCATTTCCACTTTTACTTCATCCTCTTTGAGTAGCTAAATAGAATCCAAAGAATGGTTTCATTCTGAAAAACCAGGATATTGGCTAACAATCATCTCAAACCCCTCATCGGTTTTTCTGCATTTTCTGAAAAAGCATAAAATCCAGTGAGTGCTAATACAAATTAAAAAGACACATTTTTCTCTCTTGAATATAGAACCTTTGCATTATCATGAAACACTATAAAAGTTTTCTGGTTATTCTCATCTTAGAACAGAAGTTTGGGAAGTTATGGTTTGTCCTTCTGTTCCTCTATAAACATCTGGGGATGTTAAGCAAAATATTCCATGTATACTTTGAAAGCACGTACTGCTTACGTTAGTGTATCTGCTGTGTGGCCTATTGTTATATTCTGTTGCTATGAACTTATGGACTTTAGCAAGTGGCTAGGAGAGCAAGTTCCATTGAAAAGTGCAGTTGCATTTAATATTACTTCCTGAAAAAAGAAGAAGGATGGTGCAATCCTATAGACTGAAAGGAAGCTCCTACTAGCAGTGATTTCCACCCCCCCTCAAAAATAATCACCTCAGGCAAAAGATCGTCATAACTTTTTCCATTTCTCTGTCCATTGCATTTCTCCCAATCTTTGAATTCGGTGAACAAATGTGAGGCAGCACTAAAATCTTCATCTCATTAGAAAAGTTGATGGAGTTAGCAGAGATGGCCAAATTGACAGCTTTGATCAAAAGAAAAAGCAACGATACGCAAACATTTTTGCTTCTCCTTGGAAACTGCTTCAGGACTTCATGCTTGAGGTGGGGAAAAATATATATGAAACTTCGACTTTGGGCTTTGCCGGTTAGATAGATTTGCTGTTATAGAAATGGATAGTTTAATACTATTATATAAAAGTAAAAAGTTGAGGTTTGATGTTACCATCTTATCCTACTGCACCAAGGGAATCGAAGTCAATTCCTTTCCTTTCTTTTTTCCCCCTCTTCTTTTCTACACTTCTCCCTCCCCTATTTTTCTTACTGTTTGCTTTTGCATTTTTGTATTTTATATTATAAACTAATACAAACTGAGAAAATGTAAATGTTGTGGCCCACCAGTGGCCAGCAGAGCTGGGAGCAGACTCGGACAGTGAGGAGGTTGTGGAGGAACATGGGCCAGTCCTGGAGTCTGGAGAAGGCTCTGATGAGGGCTCTGCGTCAGAGGCAGAGATGGGGCCAGGGCCATCCGACAGTTATCAGCTGCCTTTGGAGTCAGAGATCAGTGGGAAAGAAGAACAGCTGGAGCCTGTTCCCAGTGTGCTCATGCACAGAGCTGCCAGGAGAAGGGAACAATTAAAGGAACAAGGGGTGACTCAGGAGTAAAGGCACAAGTGGACGATGAATGGCCCCTCCCATGGGTAATAAAGCGGAGTGAAAGGGGAGTGGTGTTTGCAGGAGACAATTAGTTCGTTTAATTAGTGTGCAGACTTGTTTGTGACTCTCAGAGACTCCTTGCCAAGTATTTTCTGGTGCAGCATTGCGCTTGAAAGCTACTGGACTGGCAAACCTCTATGCCTGATAAGGTCTGTGGTTGTAATTCACCCTCAAAAGACTGTTTGCCGGGACTTTGCTGGATGTAAATGATAGGAATTCACATTAGCCTAATAAAAAGGGGTTTTGTCATGATTTTGTGAAGCTTAGGTGAGAACAGCAAAGCTTTCATCTCACTAAGATTATCAGGCAGGTAAAGTCCACCCCCGCTTGATAAAATTATAGTGCGGAGAGTGGGATGTCACAAAATACTCGTTTCTCTAACAAGAAAGACCTGCTTTAAAAAAAAAAAAGGATTGAACTGTTATCAATGGGCAGAATTAGCCTGTAATAGTGCAATCTAACCATAGGGAGGGAGGGAGGGAGGGAAGGAAGGAAGGAAGGAGGGAAAGTAGCTATAGCACTTACATTTATATACCACTTCATAGGGCTTTACAATCCTCTCTAAGGCGTTTACAGAGTCAGCCTTTTGTCCCCAACAATCTGGGTCCTTACTTTACCGACCTCGGAAGGATGGAAGGCTGAGTCAACCTTGAACCAGTCAGGATCGAACTGCTGACAGTCGGCAGAATTAGCCTGCAATGCTGCATTCTAACCACTGTGCCATCCTGGCTCTTGTCCCTCTTGTACTACACCTGTAACCACTTCACAGTATACTGGATAGTTTAATTTGAATTAGCTAAGATTTGTACCTAAAACAAACTCCCATTTTGGGAGTTGTGCAACAGCCTTCTCAATTTCTTCTCGATGAAACTGTGAATGAAAAAAGAAATGTGATTGCTTATGTGTTTGAACTCATGAGTGACTTTTTTATTTTGCAGCTGAATGGCATTAAAATGGTGGATGAACCTATGGAGGAAGGAGAACTGTATTCCTGTAATGTAAGTACATTTGGAATATTCCTCATGATAGGAACTACCGTTGAAGTCTTTCAAAAATAATTTTATATTATATGGTAAGCCTGTTGGGTGTAGTCATCAAGGCATTAGACTAAAAACCAGGAAACTGTGAGTTCTAATCCTCTGAGTCAGTGGTCGCCAACCAGTGGGCTGGGGACCACTGGTGGTCCGTGGGAAAATTTTGGTAGCCCACAGAGAAATGTCATCCCCAAAGCACCCCCCATAGCAATTAATCCAGGCTGCCCAGGAACACAAGGCTAACATTGGAACAAGGGAAGCGGGGAAAGGAGGTTAGGGGGGAACTTGCCCCACACGCCTGGCCTGGCCTGGCCATCAGGCTGCTTCTTTCTGCTTCTTTATTTCTTCTGGTTTTGGCTGGATGCAAGGAAAGCAGCAAAAGTCTTTCTTTCTCTCCCACAAACTCCGCGAGAAATGAGTCTTAGGGACTCTGCAAGGCCTCCTGCTCCAAGAGGCTGCGCCGGCAAAGACTCATTTCTGGTGGAGTTTGAGGGAGAGAAAGAAAGATTTCTGCTGCTTTCCTTGCATGAAGCCAAAAGTCTCTCTCTCTCTCCCTCTCCCCCTGCGAAGAGCTGGAGACGGTATCCTGTGATCCCAAATAAAGAATGATTGACCAGTAGAAAAACGGGGTGGGGAATTTTCCTGCAGACTTTTTTCTTGAAGCCACCGTCAAGTCAAAATTCATATTAATGGTCCACGGGATTTAAAAGTATGAGTTTGGCGGTCCCTGAGGTCCAAAAGGTTGGTGACCCCTGCTCTGGGTGACCTTGGGCCGGTCATGCTTTTTCAGCCCTAGGAAAGAAGCAATGGTATACCTCTTCTGGAAAAACTTGTCAAGAAACCTGCAGGGATTATTCAGACAGTCTATAAGAATTGGACAAGATTGAATGCAAGAAAACAAAATTATATGGTACCGGTGTAAAGAGGAGATGAAAGAAATTTTCCTTGCTTGTTCCATCAGGGAAAATTACTTTTTGGGCCACGCTGATGGAAAGTACATACAAAATTATTTGGTTTGCCTAGCTGTGCTTTTAAAAAGATTACATATTTTCAATATGCAAGTCTGCATTAAAAAAAATAAAAAAATAAATCTAATTCTCTAAGAATTGCATCCTACTTGTTTGAAGCAGGAAAAAGTGGTAGCCAAGAAAAAGTTTTAGTCTGAACATGCAACTGGATTTTTTTCCCCCTCAAATCTCAAGGTTTTTGATTCAAAGGGGTAAAGATGCCCTTCAGTCAAACTTCATTCTTTGTGGTTGTATCCATGCAATTTTCTTGACATTCCCAAGAGAAGCGGTTTGCCATTGCCTTTTCCCAAGATTCTTTTTCTCTATTTTCCAGTCTAGCTCTGGTTCCTTGGGAATTCCCATTTAATTCTCACAATCAAGTACTAACCAGGGCTGATGGCTTCTTAATTTCTGAGATCAGTTATGGCTAGCTGCGTGCTGCCGTCTACTGAGTCCAGCGGTGGAAAACAACACTGAAAAACAAAGTTTTGCAAAGGTGTCTTGTTTGCAGAAATATTTCTCCTTTCTTGCTTGCAGAAAGTTGTGGGGAGGAATTGTGTTTGATACCTTATCAGCTGATTAGCCATGCTTCCAATGCACACAGTGTTCTGAGAAATTTGTACGGTGGCTAGTTACAGATATAGTTGAGAAAAATAAAATTGTTCTCAGCTCAGAGAATTGAAAAACCCATTACAGCGGAAGGAAGGGTTCTCTTATGTGTCAAATTCATTATCAGAAATACCAAATTGTGTTCTGGTTGGTATTGGTTGGTGTTTTAATTACATAGTAGTTGTTTAACATGGTGTTGCTTGCTCTGGTTTCATTTTGTCTCGGGGATATCGTATCCATCCTTTTCCAATAGCTTGTATTTTTGCTTGCAAACTTAAGTAGGAAATGAGCTCCTTAAAACCATTTTGACAATGAAATGCTAATTCTTGATGACAATTACTCTATTTTATATTTCCCTGCTGATAGTAGAAGGTACAGATGTGATTACACACACATACACAAACACATGAAATATATACTTGCTTCAAAAGCTGGAAAAAAGAGAAAAGAATCCACAAGAGATGTGGAAATTCTCCACGGATTCTAATGCTTATCCTGGAAGAATGTTTCCCACTCATGCCCAACAAATTACATTGTCCTTAACATCAGAACTAGTATCCTAACCATATATTAGTCCGTCTCATCAGTAAATGCGTTGGCTGCTAATTAAAGGGAAGTTGTTGGCCAAGGAACTTTATTTGTTCTATGTTTTGTGTTATTCCAGAAATTGCTACTCATAGTAATGGTTCCATGTAAATTAGAACTGATAAAGCGCTTAATCTAGGAGATAACATTTTTTTTTCTTATTAGACAAGATTATTTTTAAATATTAGCAGTCCAAAGTCTGGGAGCTGGAAGATATAATAACTTTGTCATATGGTAATGTGTGTTTCAAATCTGGATGGTTCATTTCCTACAAATTAAAGAATGTGTTGTATATTGGTTGGTAAGGTTCTAGTTGGTTTTGGAAATATTTAAACACTTTGAAATGATAACTGCAGTAATCATTAATAAATATTAAGATTAGAGTTAAGTAAAGTGGAAGCTTACTAATATTTATAACATTAATTAACACTTAGTGCTAATTACCGATGTTCAGTGGTTTGGATGAAATCAGATAAATTTGCTGGAGATAGTATAATAGCTTTAAAATACAGTTTGCTGGTATTATAACATTCTTGTAATGCTGTATTAATAATGCAGTAAAATAATAGAATACAATAAGAAGGTTTTACTGCATTATGGGAACTTGGGACTTATAAAAATAAAAACAAAAATATTGGGATTTTAATTAACAACAATACAATATTACATATATCCATGCCATTACGTTTACAATTATACTGGACAGAAATTGTACTGAACTGCTTAAGTCCAGTCACAGTAGTAGGTATGGAACAAAAGATCGTAGTTCTTCAATATAGTGCTGAAAATGAAAAGTTTTCTTCTAACTGGTTTGCTTTTTTTAATAGTTCTGAGAATTTGTTCCTACCTTTTAAGTAGAATCAAGCAAGAAGGGAGTAAATAAATATTGTAAAATCTAATTGATTACTTAAGTTGGATCTTGACCACACTGGTGAATCACTGAAACATCTACAATAATCTATGCTACAGATGTCCCATATTTTAACATCTAATTAAAACCCTCTTGTGGAAAATCTAAAAGAATTAAGGTCTTAGCAGATAACAGATAATCAGAGTTGGAAGGGATCTTATAGGTCATCTAGTCCAACCCACTTCCCAAGTGGGAGATCCTACACCATTTCTGACAGATGGGAATCCAATCTCTTCTTGAAAGTCTCAAGTGATGATGCTCCCACAACTTCTGAAGGCAACTTCTGTTCCATAGGTTGATTGTTCTCACGGTCAGAAAGTTTCTCCTTATTTCCAGGTTAAATCTCTCCTTGTTCACTTTCCATCCATTATTCCTTGTCTGGCCTTCAGGTGTTTTAGAAAATAGCTTGACCCCCTCCTCTCTGTGGTAGCCCCTCAAATATTGGAAGACCGCTATCCTATCTCCCCTGGTCCCTCTCTTCACTAGACTAACCGAGCCCATTTCCTGCAACTGTTCTTCATATGTTTTAGCCTCCAGTCCCCTAATCATCCTGGTTGCTCTTCTCTGTACTTTTTCTAGAGTCTCAACATCTTTTTATAGTGTATTGACACTGGATGCAGTACTCAAGGTGTGGTCTTACTAAGGCTTTATAAGAGTAGTACTAGTACCTCACTTGATCTTGATTATATCCCTCTGTTAATGCAATTTAGGATTGCTTTAGCTTTTTTGGCTGCTGCTGCACACTGCTGGCTCATATTTAGCTGGTTGTCTACTAAGACTCCAAGATACCTCTCACAGTTACTGCTATTAAGCCTGGTTTCACCCAGTCTATATACTGTATATAGGTGAAGATAAGTCCCATAGAAAGAAAGAGAAAGGTACACAGGTTTCATCATCAAGCATAGCAACAATGTACATACTCGGTTATGATATTAGACCGTTAGTGTTTGACACCAACATAATGTACATGTTGACATTTCACTGTTATTGTGAACATCTACATTGTCACTTTCCTCTTGTTTCTGCATTCCAATCTCCTAACTACGAGACTGAACTTTAGAAACATGAAGAAAATGTAAGTTTTTTGGAAGATGTTTAGGCCAGAACTGAACTCATCTGGAAGCTGATGGAGCATTATGCAGTTGTACAACACATGTTTCTTTTCTTCTGTTCTGCTGCGTGTGTAGCTGCTGCCCACACTTAACAGCTGTTGAATTTCCAAATTCTGTTCAAAATCTTTTTTTTCCCCCTCCCCTCTCTCTCTATTATGCGGCTACCACTCAGTATTTAGAATTCACTGGAAGCACTGTAGCATTTCAGATCTTTCAGTTGTGTGAGGTCTACGATGACTCAGCTAGCAAGTGTTCCGATTATGGTAATAATCGAGTATAACATCATTTCCACTGACAGTGGCATTCAAAAGTGTTGTTTTCTTAAGTTCTTATTTAATTACTATTGTGTCAGTTTCCACAGAAACCCGTTCTACTGTCAAATCCAGGTTACCTCAGATCACTTTTAAACATAGAAACAGATGAACTGCTAAGATCGGTTCATGTAAATGAGAATTAAAAAAACAACAGTGAAAAGCATCATCATTAGATATTGGATATTGACACTTCAACTTGGACTGATGGATACCATTTCTTTTTACTTTGTCACTAGGCAACATGGATTCTACCTTTTAATTGCTTCTTTCTTGGAAAAGGGTACCTTTTTAGGGCACGCAAGTCTAGTGCTAACATGCTTTCTAGTATCACCTGAACAAAATATTGCAGTGTTCCAATATCTAAGGGGCTGCCACAAAGAAGAGAAGGTCAACCTCCAGATGGATCTTGACAGACTAGAACACTGGGCCCTATCTAAGGAAATGAAATTCAATGTAGAGAAAAGTAAAGTCCTACACTTAGGCAAGAAAAACTAAAAGTACACATATAGACTGGGTGAAACCAGGCTCAATAGCAGTAACTGTGAGAGGGATCTTGGACAAGCAGCTAAATATGAGCCAGCAGTGTGCAGCAGTCACCAAAAAAGCTAATGCAATCCTAATTTGCATTAACAGGGATACAATCGAAATCAAGGGAAGTAGTAATAGCGCTCTATAAAGCCTTAGTAAGAGCACACCTAGAGTACTGCATCCAGTTTTGGTCAACACATTATAAAAAAGATGTTAAGACTCTAGAAAAAGTACAGAGAAGAGCAACCAGGATGATTAGGGGAATGGAGACTAAAACTTATGAAGAACAGTTGCAGGAACTGGGCATGGCTAGTCTGGGGAAGAGAAGGACCAGGGGAGACATGATAGCGGTCTTCCAATATTTGAGGGGCTGCCACAGAGAGGAGGAAGGGGTCAAGCTATTTTCCAAAGCACCCAAAGGCCAAACAAGGAATAATGGATGGAAAGTGAACAAGGAGAGATTTAACCTGGAAATAAGGAGAAACTTTATGACAGAACAATCAACCAGTGGAACAGAAGTTGCCCTCGGAAGTTGTGGGAGCATCATCACTTCAGACTTTCAAGAAGAGATTGGATTGCCATTTGTCAGAAATGGTGTAGGGTCTCCCGCTTGGGCAGCTGGTTGGATTAGATGACCTACAAAGTCCCTTCCAACTCTGATTATCTGTTATTTGTAACCTATTCTCCAAACCACCTGAGGGCAGGACAAGAAGCAATGGATGGAAACTAATCAAGGAGAGAAGCAACCTAGAACTAAGGAGAGATTTCCTGTCAGAACAATTAATCAGTGGAACTCCTTGCCTCTAGAATTTGTAGGTGCTCCAACACTGAAGGTTTTAAAGAAATGGTATTGTCTGAAATGGTATTGGCCTTCCTGTTTGAGCAGGGGGTTGGACTGGAAGACCTCCAAGGTCCCTTCCAACTCCTCTTATTCTGTAAAAGAATAAAAGCCACTGATGTAAATGATTAAAGTGATGGAAAAGCTGGGCAAAGAAATTTTGGGCTCAATGTTCTTTTCAAGGAAGTTTTGAGTAAAGATGGGAGAGAATCTGGAGTTCTAGAAGACATTTCTTTTGCAAGGTCATTATTAATCATGCAATTTTATTTATCAGAGAACGCAGAATAAGTCAAATTAGGGTGAATTATTCCTTGGTAAAGTAATATTGGGTTGCACCCTGCCTTCTTTCCCCCCTGTAATATGTTATTTTTGTATTATGGAAAAATCAAGAAAATTTAAAGAGCCCCAGCTTTATAATCTGAAATAAATATTTATGCTTTTTAATCTTGAAAGCTAAAGGTCAGGGAAATTCTGCAGGTGTGTTAAAAAGTCTAGAAAATAGTGAGTCGCTTCTGAGTGCCTTTTCGCTGGATTCTACAATGATAGAGTTACTGTATAAATAGCCAAGTCTTTTTTTTTAAAGCTTTACTATACATTTGCTCAGATTGTGAACTATAGTTCTGCTCCAATTGTTTATATTTGAGTAGCTTGTTCAAAAGTGGTACGCCATCTTTGCCTCTTTGTTTGTTACAGGTCATAAACTATAAACAATATCCTTTACAACTGTGGATTAACAACCTTCTAGAGCAGGGGTCTGCAATTTTCAACACTCAAAGAGCCATTTGGCACCCGTTTCCCACAAAAAAGAAAACCCTGGGAGCCAATAATTTAATGACTGGTGTGACTGGGTGGGCATGGCCAACTCGACATGACTCCCACCCAGTGGTTGTGGGTGGGCAATGGCCAACTCACTCACTGCCACCCAGTCACCTCCTGCTCTGGGATATGGAGCGAGTCTCCATCCCCTGCCATCACTCTTACATTCTCAGGCCGGGTGAGGAGTGAAGGGGAGGGTGGGGGGCAGCCAGTGGTGGGATCAGCCAACAGGGAGCTGCAGCAGAGGGCCAGAAGAGCCGCATGTTGCTCCAGAGTCACAGGTTGCAGACCCCTGTTCTAGGTAAACAAGCAGGGTGCAGATACCTAATGTAGCACTCATTCTTAGCAGTTTTCCTTCCTTCCTTCCTTCCTTCCTTCCTTCCTTCCTTCCTTCCTTCCTCCCTCCCACCCTCCCTCCCTCTCTCTCTCTCTTTCTTCCTTCCTTTCTTCCTTTCTTTCTTCCTTTCTTTTTTTCTTCCTTTCAATAGGATGAAGGGAGTGTCAAAGAGATTCCTATTACCCACCATGTGAAAGAAGGTTGTGAAAAAGCAGATCCAGCACAATTTGAATTGCTTAAAGTCCTTGGTCAAGGATCGTTTGGAAAGGTAACAATGAAAAGAAACCATGTTTATTTTAAATTTGCATTAAATGTCCCACGTAGCCCCTGATTTTATTCCTTTACTAGATGCAAGCTAAGTGTTTTTAAGTGTTGGGGGGACATACTGTAGTAAAACCTGTGAGCATTTCGGTAGCAATAGCTATAGCACTTAGACTTATAAACCATTTCATAGTGGGCTTCACTAGCAGAGGTGGCTCTTTCTCCCCAGGACCAGTCCATAGATTTCCACTGCCCTCCTCTCCTCTGCCTTCTGCGCATTTGTGCGTTAGGCACTGGACCCATCTGTTCCTCCTCTTCCTCATCAGCCACTTCCAGACCTGGGGGCTGTTGATTCTCCATCTGAGGGCTGATGGACAACCCAGGCTTTGCCTCTGTCTTTCTCTCTGACAGCTCCATTCCCTCTTCCCCCTCAGAGCTCTGAGGTTGCTTTGATGCTGACCCTAAACTCCCATATCACCTCCTCATCTGATTTGGCTGCCGGATCTCAAGTTCTCTAAGGATGGGTTCCAGCAGGAGTCTGAAAGCTTGGAATCCCAGATTGGATCCAGCAATATTATCCTGGATCACATGTATTTGCCTCCATACATGAACATGTGTATTTTCCTAGAGAGACTGCACTGTAGCTGGGAAGTAGAAATGCAATTAAAAAAAGACATAGTTGCTTTAAAGAGTTGCCAAGAAGTGCAACCAGCTTTTGAAACGTTTGAATCCAAAGTGCTCCAGATGCTTATGTGCTAGGAAAACAACACTTTTATAATTTTTTTTTTCTAAATAGTGTCTAGACCCTCTTAGCTGCTTCTTTGTTTTTCATCATGAACCTAATACCTTATGTTCTCCTCTGTTTGCAATGCTGCAATGCTAGATTTGTACTAGCGTTGGCTAAATCACTGGTTAATTCTTCATGAGATTAAACGTGGCTTTTTAATCTTTTGGAACATCTGCACTTCAACAGTTCAACAGTTGGTTTTAATGGCAACGAACCCAGAAAGTAATACAGATTGTTTAGTTCTGTGTATGAAGTTCCAGAATTCTTAGCAATTGCCTCCCTAGCTAGGGAATTCTGGGAATTCAATGTCATATATCTGGAAGGATTCCAGGTTGAAAAAGTCTGATTTAAGGAATAAGGGAATAAAAACTATACTGAACTTTTAGATAATGGAATTGATGATAGGGGTTTGTGTGTGTGTGTGTGTGTGTGTTTTCAAGGGCCACAATTAGATTTGCAGAGGTTTAGGCTGTGTTCTTATGGGATTGCTTAGTATTTCTTTGCAGTGGAATATTTTATTTCTGTAAAATTTCTGTAAAATTCTGTAATTTTGGAGAACTAAGATTTTGTAAAAACAAAACAAAACAGGTGTTGGAAATATTATTCTCCTCTTACATAGCATGCCTTTCATCAGCTCATTTAGAATTGGTGGTTACTAGAAAGAAATTTGTTGGACTACATAAGATTTTAGAAATGTGTCATAATGTATTTAATCTTTCTTGTTTGTTGAGGTTTTCCTTGTGAGAAAAATAATCGGTCCTGATGCTGGCCATCTATATGCCATGAAAGTCCTAAAGAAGGCTTCGTTGAAAGGTATGCATGATTTAAAATAAAGTTAAAAAATACTTCTGCTGTGTTTGTTTTTATTTGTGAAATATAACCATTTATAACTTAATAATCAACTTTATCTTTAAAATGCTGATAAAGTCCATTGAAGATTGTGGTATTTGAACAGAAATTTCCATAGGAACGAACGTGAAATCATGTTCAATATTGTAAACATGACTTACTGTTTATATGGAAGCAAGCTTCTTGGATGAGAAGAGAAACATCTTCAAAGAAAAAAAACAAGAAAGTTCAGTTGCCTCTTGAAAAAAGCACCTTTGGGACAAATCATTGCCTGGACGACTGAGAATCTCTACAGACTTCTAGCCAACTGGTTATAGATTTCTTAGCCCTATCATCAGTCCCTGTTGCAAAAAATCTCTTTGTCTAATCACAGAGATGTAGTAGTGATTGCTTAGACAGTGTTGGCAAATCTTTTTGGCACCGAGTGTCGAAACGGGAGCCTGTGCACATGTGCAGAGGCACACTGGAAATCGGAAGAGCAGCTCCACGGTTGTGCACACGCTGGAGTGCCAGAAACCGGAAGAGCAACACTCCCCAGCATGCATGCATGCATGCACTGGGAAACTGAGCTTCTGGTTTCTGGCACGCGCATGCACACTGGCCAGCTGGTCTTCGCACGTACATGCGTGCCAGAAACAGGAAGATCAGGTGGCTGGTGCGCATGCATGCGCTGGAAACCGGAAGCTTTGCTTCCTGGTGTGCTTTATGTGAGCTGGGGAGATAGCTCTGCATGGCACTTCTGGCACGCATGCCATAGGTTTGCCATCACGGGCTTAAGACTACATAAAATGAAAGGGAGTCAGCAGTTCCTGATTTATTCCCAGGATTTATTTCCAGGATTGACAAAATGCTTAAACTAGATTCACATTAAACCATTCCTGTATTATCCATTGGTAAGGAGCAGCATGGGGATGACTTTGGCTGAACATCGGAAGCTAAGCAAAAACCTTGATGAACATTTGAATACTATTCCACTGGGAAATCCCAGAACTGTAGATTTACCCTTTACAACAGCACTTCTCGACCTTAGCAGATGGTGTGGACTTTTAGGGTGTGTGGACTTCAACACCCAGCATTCCCCAGCCAAGTGAAGTCCATACATTTTAAAGCTGCTAAGGTTGAGAAACGCTTCTCTAGAAGAAAAAGAGGACAGTTCCATATCCCTATGAGTGGGAAAAAAAAAGGATTTTCTCATCTAAGGCATCAGCAGTCATGTTCAATTCAATTATTACCAATATAATTTTGAAGTGGCTGTTTTATATGACTCAACGGAAAGCTGGCACAGTTCACGGATATGCCGTACTCATGAGTCATACTACAGTTGTGACTTTTTCATGATGTTTTGGCGGTCTTGATGTTCATGGTCGCTTGAACTTTCCCATTCAATTTCCCTGGAAATCACTAGAACGCTTCTGAAAAAGACTTACAGAAATTTGTTCATAAAAAATCCTTTGTATTTGTGCTTATTGTAAACTGCCAGAATAGAATAGAATAGAATAGAATAGAATAGAATAGAATAGAATAGAATAGAATAGAATAGAATTAGTAGAGTAGAGTAGGGTAGGGTAGGGTAGGGTAGGGTAGAGTAGGGTAGAGTAGTGTCAGGTACAGTAGAATGGAATGGAATGGAGTAGAGTAGAGTAGAGTAGAGTAGAGTAGAGTAGAGTAGAGTAGAGTAGAGTAGAATAGAATAGAATTCTTTATTGGCCAAGTGTGGTTGGACACAGAAGGAATTTGTCTTGGTGCAAATGCTCTCAGTGTCCATAAAAGAAAAGATACATTTGTCAAGGGTCAAGAATCATCAGGTACAACACTTAATGATAGTCATAGGGTACAATAAGCAATCCAATCATACTAGGAAACAGTCAATATATAAATCGTAAGGATGCAAGAGACAAAGTTACAGTCATACAGTCACAAGTGGGAGGGGATGGGTGGTAAGGAGTGATGAGAAGGTGAATAGTGATAGTAGTGCAGACTTTGTGAATAGTTGGAAAGCGTTGAGGGAAATATTTGTTTAGCAGACTGATGGTGTTTAGGGAAAAACTGTCCTTGTGTCTAGTTGTTCTGGTGTGTAGTGCTCTATGTACGTATTTAGTTTCACTCTTCTTGGAAAATTTATGTTTGCAGTTCGAGACAGAGTCCGCACAAAGATGGAAAGAGATATATTAGTAGAAGTAAATCATCCCTTTATTGTCAAACTGCACTATGGTGAGTATTATTGTCTGTGACTTTGATCAAGGTTTATCCAATCAATGTCTTCATTTCTAGAGTTTGAATGACATCTACTAGCTTGGTTAAAAAAAAAATGCATACTTCGTATTGTACTTTGAAATCCACAAGCCATTTAAGCAGATATTTTTAAATGTTTTCCATGAAGCTGGATTTACTTAGATAAAAGTTTTTATTATTTACTTAGCATATAGCGTATCATACATGGACTAGCCATATATATTAACCTTTCATCTAGATTAATAAAATGTAATGAAGTAGGGTTGTTAAAGATATCTGTGTTCAAATGTCTAGGCTAGGGGTGTCAAACTCAATGCTCAGATCTGGCCCACGGTGCCTCTGCCAGTGAAAACAAGCAGTGTTTTGCTGGCAGAGGGTTGCAGGAGACCGTCACAGCCGGAAACAGAGCTCGGGAGTGTTCTGACCAAGGCTTCCTGGGACCACAATTAAGCACATGCTTAGTTAAAACAACTCTTGTTTTATTTCAATGCTGGGAATTATGTTCATTCCCAGCTGGTAATGAATCGCAAACAATCCCTCGAGATAAGCACCCACCTTTTTCTCCTTTGAATGGCTGCCAACAACTAAAGTGCCAATTGAATTATAAAAAACCAACCAAAGTACCAAGTCCACACAGAACTTCAAGGATTAATCTGAACAGAGTGAACAACTTTGCTTCCTGCAAAGGTTTCTCTACCTTTGCACCTCCTTTATACCTTATGGGAGGGCCAACCACCTCCAAGCCTTATTCCCGAGTCGCCCCTTTTGTCTTAACTGTTCTTGCCTTCTAGCAGCTCTGCACACACATGCACTGGGAACAGGCTCCCCCTGTTCCTTTGCCTCGCTGCTGTCAGATTCTAGAGGCTCCAGAGTCAGCACACAACTCCCAGATGACCCTGGCCCCATCTCTGCATCGGATACAGAACCATCGGCCGAGTCCTCTCCAGACTCCCGGATTGGCCCATGATCCTCCCCACTGTCCACCTCCGCTGCCAGCTCCACAAGCCGCTGGCAGACCACGGCAGGGAGCCTGTTTTCGCTGGCAGAGCGCTGGGGCCGCCACAGGCACCCCCAACATGAGTGATGTCAAGCTGGCCATGCCCACCATGGCCACTCCCCCACCCCACCCCAAGGTCAAACACAACCCTGATGTGGCCTTCAGTGAAATTGAGTTTGTGTGTGTGTGAGAGAGAGAGAGACAGTGAACTGGTATATTCCTCAGCTTACAGCCAGTCACGCAGTCACAATGTGATTGACAGCTTGACATGGGAGCCTGCATGTCACCCACACTGATGGGAGGATACTATGCCCCATTTACACAGAGAGTTCTGGCAGACACCGGCTGAAGTGTGACACCTATTCAAGACGGTCCATTGCTGACCTGGTAGTTCAGAGCCTGCTCTCAGGATTCCAGCAATCGCCCTCATTAAATCATGATTCTCGAGCCAAGCTTCAGAAAACTTCAAAGGATTCATTAGAGGTGACATACTGGCACTGCCCCGTATGGAGCCAACTCTGGCATACGTAATACATTGTAATACAGTGTAAGAGAAGAGGAGGAGGAGGAGGAGGAGGAGGAGGAGGAGGAGGAGGAGGAGGAGGAGGAGGAGGAGAAGAAGAAGAAGTAGAAGAAGTAGAAGTAGTAGTAGTAGTAGTAGTAGTTGAGGTTGTTTATAGAATTCCTCTTGATTGATTCCTCTTGCCTTGAGTAGTTAAAAGTTTAGAGCCCTCAAATGTCTCATGTGATTAGGATATATTATTTAGTGTTTTATCTATGCTTCATATCTGTTGTTGCACAAAACTGATTCATATTTTATGGCTGCTCTTTACAGCCTTCCAGACTGAAGGAAAGTTATATTTAATATTGGATTTTCTCAGGGGAGGAGACGTGTTCACAAGATTATCCAAAGAGGTATGTATTTATGGACCTTTTAAAACATAATGTGAAGTGGTAACCCTTATACTAAGTTTTTGTCTTTGCCTTTTCTTCCAAGAGCTCCATTTTCTCTTTTTTTTTAATATTTTCAACATCCATATTAGAGGGGACGACTAACTCAAATCCCTTTATTTTATATCTTAGTTTCAAATCTGGGTGTTTTTTTTTTTCCCTTGCCTAAATCCGGCTCTCTGTCACTATTCAGCAGTGAAGAAACTGGATCAATTTTCCATTAATATCTCTTAACCTAATCTCCCTCCAAATTGCGAGGACAAATTGTGATCATGAAGTTAAGAGGGTGGTATGCTGTTTTTGGCTTTCTGGAGAAAACGCAGGATTGAATAAATAGTTGCCTCCCACAGTGTTATGACTACATAAAAACCATCTTACTCTCTGCTTTTAGAAATGTTTTTTTCCCCTTCACTCAGGGGAAAGGTTTCTGTGTAAAAACACAATGAGGTCAAATATATTAATAAGTAAAACATTTCTCACTATGTAAGAAAGTAGTTTTTTTCCCCCTCCAGGACTTGGAAATGTCTTAGAAAGGATGCTAAAAGAAGAAATGCTTCAAAGCACCAGAGTGCAAAACCCGTATCACCTGGTTGCTTTAATGAGCCACAGACAAGTGCTGGACTCAATTTTTGGGATGTTCCAAGCATGTTCAGCTAATTGCAGAGTTTTGTCTTTTAATGGTTAAGCTCTCACTTTTATTCTTTATGATCTTGGAGATCTTTTTGCCATATGGGATAATTTGAGATACTTAAATAATCTTGTTCATTTGACCTTTTTCCCATGCAGAGAAATTAGGTATTCCGGACACGTGTCCTTCCAGAGGTCAACCATTCCATTTCCCTTGTAACCATTCATTTGTCATTGATGAGCTGCATCAAAAGGCATGCTCTGAATATTTATTCTTGGAGAACTAATAGTATCAATGTCTGTGGAGACTCTTGGTCATCCAGGTCATGGTTGTCCCAAAGATGCTTTTTTCAAAAGGCAACTGGAATTTGTCTTTTTCTTTTGCTTTCCTTTGTTTTCAAGGAAAGGTTGCCTTTTGAAAAAGCACCCTTGGGATAATAGGATGAATGTTGGTCCTTTTTGAAGTTGCATATGTATAGTTCCCAGGGGTGGGATGTCAGCGTTCCAGAAATTGTCCGTTTCAATCAGTAACTCAGAGACAAACATATTCTCAAAGTGCTTTATTAATAACAGAAACTTGGCACGTTTGTGAGATTCCGAAACTAAAGGTTCCTCCCAGACTTCCCACAATACTCAACACCCAGCCCTTTTCTCCCATATCATAAATCACGTGAACAAATCACCCTTCAACTACAATTCTTGCTGCGCCATAGAGAATGACCTTGACAGCCTTACGTATCTATTATGTCTACTGAAAATTATTCGAATAACAACAACTCCCCCCTTCCATTCTCCGTAGCTGTGTGGCCTAGCTTTTCATAGAGATTCCAAAGCTGACATGGGATTCAAATTTCTTAACAATCGGTTCTGTGGGTGTGGCCTAATTTGTGGGTGTGGCTTGGTCATGTGACTGGCTTGGCATGGCTTGTATGTAGATATTGTAAATATTTATGTAAATATTGAATTTTTTATTTTAAAAAAAGAGCAACTTTTACCCAAAATTAGGCAAAGCAGGCAAACAGATTGAGTTGCTCACAGAATCACAGATTCACTCAGAGATCTATCTTTCTGCAATCCGCTACCTGAGTCTGCACTGAAAAATAGAAGCTCCAGTCCTAAGGAAGGTTCAGCTCTGCTTTTAGATTAGCTATAAAGCAAGAAATCCAACGATTTCTTGCTTTCCAACTAATCTAAATCTCCCGGCACACCAGAACAGCTGATGGTCGGGAAAAAAAGAAGAAGTAAAAATAGCAACTTACTAAACCTGGCAAGTTTGATGGCATGCCAGGTAAGGAGTGAGTGGGCGGGGAGGGGCAGGGCCAGCCAGTAGCGTGATTTGCCAGTTCTCTGAACTGCACAGAATCGTAACAACCGGTTCTATAGAACCGGTCTGACTAGGTAGAATCCCACTCCTGGCAGTTTCTTCTTGTGAGTCATCCAAAACCATGGACAATATGCAGCATGGACTAGTGAATTTGCATCGTGGATCTTTAAACATTGTGGGAATTTGCTAATGTCTTTGATGTACAGAAATTTAACCAGACCGGAATGTAAATCTATATAGTTCTTATTAGGTTATGTTTACAGAGGAAGATGTGAAATTCTACCTCGCAGAACTGGCTCTAGCTTTGGATCACCTGCACAGCTTGGGAATTGTATACAGGGACTTGAAGCCAGAAAAGTAAAGTAAAATGTATTTTATCCACTATTACGGTACTCTTATTTAAACCCTTCTTTTGTGTTTGCCATAAAATAAATATGGAATCACTGCTCTAGAGGTGATCCTTGACTTACAGCTTACAAATGAGCCCAAAATCTTGGTTGTTCAGTGTGACCATTGTTAAGCAAATTTTGCCCCATTTTACAACCTTTCTGGCCACTGTCGTTAAGTGAATCACTGCAGTCGTCAAATTAGTAACACCGTCGTTCAGTGAATCTGGCTTCCCCGTTGACTTTGCTTGTCAAAAAAAAAAAATGGCAAAAAGTGACCGCATGACTCTGGGGCACTGCAACTGTCATAAATATGAGTCCATTGCCAGTTGCCTGAATTTTGATCACACAACTATGGGGGATGCCGCAATGGTTGTAAGCTTGAAAAACAACCATAAGTAACTTTTTCAGTGCTTTTGTAACTTGGAACAGACACTTCATCCATCCTTTATCCTGTATCCTCCTTTATCCCTTCAAATTATTTTTCAACTTGTTGTAAGTCAGAGACTACCTATACTCTTTTTTTTTTTAACAAAATATGTTTTCAGAAAATTCTTAATTAATTAAATGTAAATACTATAGCATGCTAATTTGCTCAACTGTCTTATTAAAATATTCCTGTTTATGTGCATTGGTGAATGTGGATTTTAATTTTCAGCATTTTGCTTGATGAAGCAGGACATATCAAGTTAACAGGTAGGTGGAACTTATTAGTATAGCTTTTTTTAAAAAAAAAACTAAAAATATTTACCTAAATAGACTCAGCTGATTAAAACAGAAGGTATTTTGAAGTGGCTGAAGATGCTGCTGGATAGATTCATCCATCATGTCTTCCTTTATCCCTTCAAATTATTTTTCAACTTTTTGTTGAACAAATGCTGCATTCATAAAAAAAAAAAATGTTTATTTCATATTGAGCCTTCCTCCAGTGCCCACTCCAGCTGCGGAGAATCTGCAAGAGGTGGTCAGAAAAATAAAGAGAGAAGCCACGATGCTTCAAATAAAGTCCCACCCATTATTATTATTTGTTGATTCATTAAGAAAACTTATATGGCTTCCTAACCAGTGGTGGGATTCCAATAATTTAACAAGCAGTTCTCTACCCTAATGATTTCTTCCAACAACCGGTTGTGATGACCCTGATTGTAACACAAATGTAACAAAATACAAAACGTAAATAAATGTCCTTTAATGCCTCCAACTTGGCTCCACCGTTCCATAATTCTCAGTTGGAGATAAAACGTACTCAAAAATAGTCTTCAAAAGAAAGCAATACAGTCCAAACTTAATGAGCAGATAGAGGTGAAATAAAAAACCAAACAAACTGCAATGAAGAAATGTCCACAACAGACCAAGATAAGTAATTACCAAATTCAAGGAGATAACAAGGCACAGTCTGTTGGAAGGACGCCAACCAAGATAACTTCAGCCCCAAATAAAACACACTTTACTTCTGGCAACTCTGTGTTGTAACCGTCTCCCTTATATACTATTCTCCCCAGCTGCAACTAATGAGGGGGATCATGGCTGCTTCCTCTCTCATAAGCCACGTTGTTCCCTTCTCCATTCCTCCCTGCAGGCCCTAGGATGAAGAGGGGATGGGCCTGGGTCCTCCTGTGACTGCCCAGCCAGCCTCTGCCCTTCCCCAGCCTCCTCCACAACCTCCGGAGCCACACCTCCACTCCCTGTCGGCTGTTCCTCCTCTCCCTTGGAGTCCGACTTTACCAAGGGCATGACACTAGTTCACCAAACTGCTCAGAAAGTTAACCATTGGTTCTCCTGTAGTGGTGCAAACTGGCTAAATCCCACCATGTTCCCAACTCATTCATGGTGATACCAGGTGGCTAATAGAAATAAACACTCCAAATATAAAACCCAATAAACCTCACTTTCCTGGTGACAGCAATCAAGCAAACCACTTGATGGGCTCCATATTACCCAGAACCAATGGCAAAACTATGTCTTTCAAAAGAATATCAAGATGGGAACCAAATATCTCCGTGGGAAGGATGTTCCATAGGGAGGAAGCTATCATGGAGAGGGTCCTTCTTCTTGGTCCCACTAGATCAGGGGTGTTGTTCTGACCCAAACCCTTTTCCAATAAAACAAACACGAACCAAAGGAAACAGAAACCTTTTAATGATTCTTACGAATCCCCAGTTAAAAGGCTGCTGCAAACTAATTAACTTTGATAAGCACAAGCCTTACCAAAACTGTGTGAGGCTGCCAAGAATAACAGATAAGAAATACTTCACAACACAGGAGTCTTCAAATACCAACTAAGATACTGCAATGTCCACGAGGCTGAGTTTCAAAATGTCTTTTGTTTCCTGCAAAGGACGTCTGATTCACAGCTGCCTTTTATCTTTTTGAAGGAGGGGCCATTACCTTGCAGCCTTACTCCCGAGCTGCCGGTGATGCCGCAACTGCTCTTTCCTGCGAGCAACCCTGCGCGCATGCACACTTGGCACAGGCTCCTCAGGAACCTCCTCATCACTGCTGCCAGCCCCCACAATCTCTGAAGGCAGCAGTCCACTCCCTAATGGTCCTGACCCCTCTTCTGAGTCCTCACTCTCCTCAGCTGTCCGCACCTGCTGCCAGCTAACCACAACCGGTGTCAAATTGAATGCGTCTTGTGCAAGCCACGCCCACCCCGGCTCAGCGAATGGGGAAAACGTCACGTGACGGCAACATGATGCCACAAGTTTGACACCCGTGCATTAGAGGGACCTCCTTTAAGGTGGGGGGAGTGATCTCCACTCATATAGATTGGGTAGATATAACTTGGAAAAGATGGTCCTTCAAATAACCTGGATCCATTTTTAAGTGTGTTCCACATAGACAACAGGCGGAGCATCAACCACAGTGACTGTTCTTCTTGATTTCTCTGACTTCCTCTTGTGAGTACATCTGCCAGCTGGTTGTTATATTCTCATGTATCATAGCAGTTAAGAGTAACATCGAAGTATAATGCCTAGTAACAGAACTCTACAGTATGTGCAAAAAACAGGCTTGCAAATGCATCATCGTTTACTGCAAAGCTAGAATTTTCAACGTATAACAAAGCAAAAGAACATTTGTTGTTACAAAGCATTAAGCCAGCAATGCCTCCCCCTTCAAAAAAGAAAAGAAAAAAGCATGTCATACATCAATGCTCATTATCAACCATCCGTTTCTCTTTTTGAACAGTAGTCAGGGAGATTGGGGCTCTAATGCTCACATTTTGCCTTTTATGAGAAACGAGAACATCCTGTTTTGTAGGTATGTAAAACGAAACCTAGCAAAATGACAATAATGCTCTAAAAATGTAGGGAGGGAAAATATCCGGATACCATTCCAGAGTGCTTCAGATTTTAAATGTCGTTTATATCTTCCCTCCTTTTATGTTTCTACAGTCTGCTTTTAGTCTATACTTTTCTTGCTAGTTATTTAAAATGAATTATGGTTTAATGTTGCTGATAGAAGAATGACAAGTCTGGATTCATTACAGATGAATCTCTCCCATTCTTTCTGATGAGAAGAGAACTTTGTAAGAGTTTGCAAGAGAACTCAAAGGCAATATCCTTATAATTTAGGGCATGTCAAATTTTTCAACTTTCAATTTCCAAACATTAGGGGTAAAGCTGCGCCTCCCTAAAAGTTATGACATGCCTTGAGGATTGTAAATATATTTTGGTCACTTTAATATAATTTAGAATAACAGAGTTGGAAGGGACCTTGGAGGTCTTCTAGTCCAACCCCCTGCTTAGGCAGGAAACCTGATAGCATTTCAGACAAATGGCTGTCCAGTGTCTTCTTAAAAGCCTCCATTGTTGGAGCATTTACAATTTCTGGAGGCAAGTTGTTCCATTGGTTAATTGTTCTAACTGTTAGGAAATTACTCCTTAGTTTTAAGTTGCTTCTCTCCTTGATTAGTTTCCATCTATTGCTTCTTGTCCTGCCTTCAGGTGCTTTGGAGAATAGCTTGACTCTCTCTTCTTTGTGGCAGCCCCTTAGATATCAGACCACTGCTATCATGTCACTCCTACCCCTTCTTCTCCTAACTACATAAATATCACAACTTTTTAACATTTTGTTTGTTTCATATGATATAAACCTAAGCTTAAACCTTCTTCCATTTAGTTTCTAGCACTTGGTCGATCGCTTGCTTCTCAATGTTTGATTGCGCTGGGGACCAAGCTTCAAATCATACTCCAAAACATTGGTTAAAATTAAAATGAAGCAAGTTAAAACATTACAGCTCTCCTAGCTTCTTGCTCGTTCTCTCTCTCTGTTTATTTCTTGAATTTATATAGCTGCCCCCCTCACACATGGGAATCTGGATGAGGTACACAATGAAAGCTAAATAATTAACCTCGTTTCAAACACAACCATTAAAAATGAGTTAAAAGTAGTTTCCTCAGCCTTTTGGCCCAGACCGAGTGTGCAATTGTACAGTTGTGTATGTTGTACTTTCGGAGACAGCTATTTGGATTTCTTACCCATTTTCAGCTTCTCTGAAATATGTAAATTTTCTCATGTGTTTTTGATTCTTATGGTCATGCTGTTTAGAGTATCTGGTGTGCTTTACGAGAAGCCGTTCCATTTGGATCTGTCAAAAAGTAATAATTGCTTATTTATAACATTTCCTAGACACCAACTGTTAGGGCGACTAATATGTATGTACAATAAAAGCAAAACAAATTCTCCAGTAAGATAATAAAACAACTAATCAAAACAAGTGTTACAACAACAACACTCCCTAAATAGATCACAGAAATGCAATTAATTTAAAACCAGACAGTGGCTTTTAGCCTATTGAAGAAATACTGGTGCTCATTATTCTAATTCTAATTCAGTGCTTAACTACAGGTGGCTGAGACCACATTTTCATGCTGAATGTTGACTAAAAATGACACCTGTGAATTAAGCATGCTTTGAAGAAAAGCTGTGTTAGCTAGCTTGCTGCACAATAGGCTGAAAATATTAAAGTAGGGTAAGCAGAAATGATGTGTACAAGCTCCTCTGCTTTTTTGGTGGGGGAGAAAAGTTATCGTATATTCGATACATTTGTGAGATGATGCAAAGAGGATTTTGCGTTAAGTTGAAATTCTCCACTCGGAGGAAGATACACAGTTGAAAATTTTAGCTTGGTCTTTGTACTGTTGTATAAATCTGTCACTTGGGCACTGGTGGAAGCCACGCAGAGATCAAAGTAGTGTTTCTCAACCT